ACTTTTACTTTCACCCTCTGGGGGGAGCCTCGCTGGAAAAACAACACCGGTTGCATAGTATACCTTTAAATCAGATAAAAGGCAGATTATATACCTCAAGAGCAATAAGGAAACAAACTCCTGTCTAATCAGATATGTTTTAATTGCAACAGAGACCTAAAGACCTGGGCGGTGGCGCATTTATGAAGTGCAGCTTAATGTATCACAGTATGGTGGGAATGTTTTATCGTTGCAAGCAAACATATGGTCTAAATGGAAATTTGGAAAAAAAAAATAGATTTAGAAAAAACAAATGCAATCCAGAAATTAATCTTTGAAAATCATTTTGATAAAAATAACTGCTTTAAAATTTGTATTTGCTTGCAACAATAATGGAACAGAATTCACTCCATATAGAGGAAAACTATTCAAGTTTAGTTTTGAACGCCATAACTTCATGTGAGAGATATTTTTAGTGTTTCCCTTACGTAACATACCAGCTGCTTTTTATCAGAGATATACACTCGCTACATGCTCTTATTGCTGGATTAAATGGGATTAGTTAACAGAACGTGTGTTTATATTTCCCTGATACAGCTCAGGTCATAGATCATGTTGCTCTAGAGCAGACAGTGAAGGCCAACCAGTATTTATAGATCCTATCTAACATAGTATTATCAGTTCATGTAATAAAACCATAAATTTTAAACCGTGGACTTTGATTTGATCACCATTCCATTTTTTTCCCCTCCCATAATCTTCCAACATCAGACTAATTTAGTATTTAACTAAGATAAAGTTAATTTTTTATGGGATTATGTCTGAGTTGTTGTTTGGCATGAGTTTGAGTCCAATTCTTTAGTGATCTTATAAAACTTTTAAAGGACAGAAAAAAAATAAAAAATGCAAATTCTCATCCTTATTGTTGCCTTTTATTAACCCCGATGACAGTTTCTGCACATTGGAACATGTCATACATTTCACTGCTTCAGTTGAGGGTAAAGTCTGCTTTGGGTGTCTGTTAACGGTTGACTGGTCTAATGGGGCTTGTGATGGTTTGATAACTCTTGGAAAACACCCTTCTTGATTCCCACTTTTTGCTTTACTCAAACATTTATAGTGATAAAGTATTTTAAGCCTCAAAAATGTAGCTTTAAGGCTGCTTTGATGGTAATTATTATTGAAAGCACACTGAGAAAGCTACGGAAGAGGATTAGGGCCACTGAAAAAAAAAAGTTAACTGATTTTTTTTAAATTTTATTTTAGTAAAGTATGGGAAAAAAGTCAGAATTCTGACTTTAATCTCAGAATTCTGACTTTTTTTTTCTCAGAATTCTGAGATTAAAGTCAGAATTCT